GGGTTTTTTTCTCTGTATCTATGAAGCGCCTTGAGGCGACTTATGTTGTGATTTGGCGCTATATAAATAAAATTGAATTGAATTGAATTGAATAGATGTAAGATGAAGTAGTCTTATAAATAAACATCATGCCGTGCTGCTAAGCAGGACCATCTGGCTTCTTCATATACAGTACAGTAATAATATCACCATCACAGAGAAATTTGTAGGTTGCAAATTTATCGTGCGGGATCATTGGAAGAGCCAGTGGCATATGAGATGGTGTTTCTAATAGTGGAAAACACCCAAAGACGATGGCGACAGGATGTGCCAAACATGAATACAAACATCATCGCCACAATCAAGTCCAGATAAATTTTAGATTGTGGAATGATCTTACAACCTCGAAAAAGGGAAAAAATATGTATTTCTTTAGCAAAATCCAACTTAATCTTCAGTTTTCTTGGTAGGTGTTCCATATGAGTCAGTGTGGTACCGCCTCTGAGTCCGAGGTCTTTACACCAATCAAATTTTTACATTTTAATACCATGAAGGGTTTGAGTATAGACCAAATTATGGTTTTTAGTGACCTCACCAATAACATGTGATTAGTTTTATCGTAGTTTAGAACACATTTACATTTGCTGAAATATTTCTTTAATGTATCAGCAGGCTGCAGTTTTGCAGTCATCAGGATAAGGGAAGATCCAGTGGTATATAACGCAGTGTCATCTGCGTAAAAATGTGCATTAGTTTTTGAGTCAAAGATGTAATAGAGTAAATAAAAGAGGTCCAAGAATACTTCCCTGTGGAACACCTGTACTAATGACATCCATCCAGAGTCTGAAATAGTTACAGAAGTTTTATATACGTGAATAGCTGAGTACTTTTAAATAATATGATAAATAAAAGAGGACCAAGAATAGGTCCCTGTGGAACACCTGTACCAATGGCAAAGGTAGATGACGTCATTGGAGGTGGTCTGAGTGTGAAAAGTGAGCAGAAACTCTGAGAAGAAACAGATTAGTGGTGACAGTCACTGCAGTCATGTTTCATTCAGTTTGCAGAACAGACTGGGATGAATTAGAGAGAGGTACGCGCTGCATGCTGACGTCCTGTGCTTAACTTGCAAAACCCCTTTTTACTTTCAGGGACTTAAAGTTGCAAAAAGCACCAATAATCCAATTCAAACATCATCTCACTTTTTTTTCTCCCAGCATGCCCCAGGCGTGCCTCGGATCCTCGTGGGTAACCGTTTACATCTGGCTTTCAAGCGGCAAGTTCCCACTGAGCAGGCGAGGGCGTACGCCGAGAAGAATGGCATGACCTTCTTTGAAGTGAGCCCGCTGTGCAACTTCAACGTCATTGAGTCGTTCACGGAGCTGTCGCGCATCGTCCTCATGAGGCATGGCATGGAGAAGTTCTGGAGGCCCAACAGAGGTGGGTGGATGTGGAGCTGGGGTCATCAAAGTGAGGAAAGATGGGTTGTTAAACTGCACTCTGCTGGATTTTCACTACCGCCGAGAGCAAGAGAAAATGAGTCTGTGAAGCACTGTGGAGCCCATCAGCAGATGGATGTCATATCGCCACACAAGCTCTCTCAAACTAATTAATTTGAGCTCATTCCTGTCATCGCTCTGTCTCCTTCGTGTGTAATTACAGTATAAAGCAGTGGGAAGTGATGTCCTGCACGTCCTTTGAGACTTTATAGAGAACAGAGTCAGGCTCAGTGTGCTGAAACTCGCCTCTTTCAGTCTGAGCTTCCTCCTGTGTGTCAGTCCTCAGTTTATTCGAGGCAATAAGAGTCGAAAGAGGTCTGATTTCTTTAGTTTTGTTACAATCTGTTCATAAATCGGTAATAAAAAGCATTTATCTAAAACCTGACATTTTCCCTTAACGGATGTTTGACGGTAACCTCGTCTCTGTGCCCTCCCTCTCTGCAGTCTTCAGCCTGCAGGACCTCTGCTGCAGAGCCATCGTGTCCTGCACGCCGGTCCACCTCATCGATAAGCTCCCGCTGCCCGTCGCAATCAAGTCCCACCTCAAGTCCTTCTCCATGGCCAACGGAATGAATGCCGTCATGATGCACGGACGCTCCTACTCGCTGGCCAACCCAGCCGGCGGCTCCAAAGGCAACAGCCTGAAGCGCTCCAAGTCTATCCGTCCGCCGCAGAGCCCGCCGCAGAACTGCACCCGCAGCAACTGTAAGATCTCCTAACAAGCGCCGCTCCCCGGATCGCAGCTTGGAGCGGGCGTGGGATCAGGAGACGGATGTGCAGGGTGTCGTTAGCTGGAGGAAATCCCTGAACCCGAAGAGCAGGAATGATGGATAAAGGGATGCATGAGCGCTACCTCCCACCTACACGAGGTCATGTTTCAAGTGTTTAATGTTCTTTGCAGGTGAAGGGGGAGGGGTTCGAATGGTGCCTCAGGAAATTTAGAGAGTAACTACAAATGTTTTGATCTTATTTACACTAAAACAAGAGGAAAAGACTCCAGAAACTCCTCCCTGCTGGAGAGGCTACTACATGAACAGAGATCCCTCACCAACGCATACTTCGTTACTCTACATGATGCACGCCGCTCAGTGTCTGCATCACCGCAGCCTTCACTTTCACACCTTTCCTGTTTCCTTTTTCTGTCCACACCCGTTATTTTTTGTTCTATGACTGATAAGCTAACCATCAAAACACTAGAAAAGATCAGTCGCTTTTTGTCAGCACACGTGTTTTAAAGTGATTTTATATTATAAATCCACAGAGGTTTAGAGGCCCCACCCCCCAAAAAACCCCTGGAGGACCCGGCCCGAGCCGAGTCCAGACTTGTTAGTGTGCCTTGAGCCCAAGTGAACGAGCATGCAGCAGATAGATCGCTAAAAGCACAACAGTAACCATGAATTAGAAAGAGTTTCCTATTTTTAGTTTGCAGTCCCTTCAGCTTCTGATCTTCTGATGGTCTCCATTTGTCGCTTAAATGCAGCCAAATGTGATGAATTATACTGAGGAATTTATTTTAAACACGCTTTTTATATACATTTTTTTTTTAAGGAAAATGTGTTTGTTGTTCAATATTTCACATGACAGTCAGCCAATCAAATGTGCAAACCCAAACTGAACTTTTCAGACGGGTGGAAATGTGCTTGGGACTATTTTCAGTGGAGGAGTGATCCACATTTGGTGTTCTAGTGTGGAGTGTGGTTATGTGTCAGTGGTGCATCTGTTTTCTTTTTCGCCCGAGAGCTTCAGCGACTTGATTTTCCCCCCACTCCTTCCTGACATCGTGCTTTTCAGATTTCACGCCTCACCTGTCGTGTCACACCTTTCTAACTCAGCAGAGTCTCGTCTGCGCTCACCTGCTGCTTCTCTGACAACGTGCCGCCGATCCAGACTCGCCTCGAAGCGATGCTCCACCCAAACGTGTTGGTAACGGAGCAGATAGTGACGCTGCTGCAGTCCATTAATCCATGTGTTGGTTTCACTGAAAACAGCAACGTACGATAAGTTCAGCACGTTTAATGAAGCCTTCACATTCTGAATGTTTTCAGAGTTATCGCATCTTGAAGTACATCAGGGTGGATTAAGAACATTATACATGCGTCTCCTCACACTCGTGCACAAACTGTGACGCTGGGAGTGGGTTTAAAACCGATTCGTTTGCATTTTTTAACAGAGCTTCAACATCTTTTTAAGCCCTGGAAGTTTCACATGGATATGTCAGCTGTGAGGGATCAAAAAATGCAGAATAACTGCAAATTTGGACCCTTTCCCATGTAATTAGAGGGCCTGTAACTCTGAAGATATTCATGTGTGATGGTAAAATTTTGCTTGGCTTCATTAAATAAACTAAAGTTATTGAACATAAAAAATTCAGCTGATTCTGAGAGACCCAGAGACGAGGGACCGGGTGATTTTTCATTAAATAATGCTGCTTTTCTGGGGTTTTATTGCATTTTAAACAGATTATTTGTGGTTTTTCGCTCTTTTATGACTCAATCGTCAGCTGAAGCTCTAAATTGAGCACAAAGAAGTGAAGCAAATATATGGTGTCACCCTAATGGCTGCAGTGTCACAGTTGATCACTGATTAATAAAACCCAAATCACACTAACTTTGCTGAAAGATGTTCCAGCTGTCATTGAATTTCTCAGATTTGCACTGCAAAAAGTTCAAATTGAATGAACTTAAAGTCATAGAAGACAAAGAAAACCGGCCGATCGTGCAGATTTGAAAACTGCAAACTGTTAATTAGGAGCCAGAAGTAGCACAGAGGAAATCTCCACAGTGTTTTTGTGCTCAGATCTGAACGCGTGGGCAGAGAGCCTCAGCACGCAGCTTTTCTTTGGCCTAAAATGCAGTTTGAAGTTTCCCAGCGTCGGGGTGCTGTTTCCGATTAAAATGATCATATTTACTGTGAAGCTGGGCTCTGTCTGAAACGGCCCTGAAGCTCTGCTGCGACATGATTGGCTCACGTGTTTCTGTTTTGGTTGCTGATTGGTGATTTTGGTGGATCGGCGATCACTCGGGCTTCGCTGAGTGTCGCGCCCGCTCTTTGTGTAACATGTTTGGTTTTATTTTCACGAGTTTAACCCGAGCACAGCTGCTGCTCTTCGTTGGGTGGCGAGTCATTGTAACCATCCGGTCACATCTTTAACCCACACAGTCCCCTCAGCTGTTAGCTTACTGCGCTCCTGTGACTGCTGTAGCTGCGGGCGTCCTGCACGTCTGTCTGCGGAGGTGTTTCCATATTCAGTCTGCCTGAGCTCTCGTGGGGAGAGGCAGCGACGCCCGAGACTTTCTGAAGCTGTTGATGATGTGACAGTTGAAGTTCTGATGAGGGCAAACAGGAAACCAGTCACAGCGGCTGGTCAGGCTCGTGTTGCAGTGGAAACTTTCCAGTATTGATAGTAAACAGTGACCCGTGTTTATCGGAGCGCTCTGAATGTCACTCGCTGTCTTTCATAACCAACTCTCAGAGCAAAGTGTCAGCCGACAGGAACATTTTCACTTTTTGAGACGTCGCACAGAGCAGAACATTAATGGGGAGATGTTAAAAATCTAAAGCCTTTCTCTCAGTGGAAGCATAAATAGTTTCACTTCATTACAGGATGCTTAACTTCCTTTTTTATGCTGTTTGCAATTTTTATTCTGTGGTTTTCGTCACATTGCAGAGAAAATCAATAATGTGTTTTTGATCAACTGCGACCAAATCAGTTTCCCGCCCACTCAGAGTCTCAATCTGAAGATAAAATCTCGCCTTCATTTCCGTCACAACCATGTGACAAAAACGGCAGTAGTTAATCATTTAGACCCAGAAGGAGTCGGAGTTAGAAGACGACCGCGGTGTCAAATGTAGAAAAAAGCAGACGTGTGGCCGCGTATCGCACACGTCTGCTGGGATAACTTTTTAACTTTGCACGGCGTCATTAAATAAACCACTCAGCAGAAATCAGCTGACTCTGAGGGGGTCAGAGGTCAGGTGGGAGCGAGCTGCAGGTCCTTTCAGAGGACTGAAGCACGGACGTGTGTTCAGGATGCCTGCTGCTGGTTTTCCTGATGTTTGAAATACAAAACACAGCAGACTGCGTTTAAACGTGAGCTCTTGATAATTGAATCAAGCTGCGACCACGAGGATGGAATTAAATGACCGTCCGCCTCGTGTTTGCCGTCCGTGTTCCCGCCCTGCTCGTCCTCCTGTCAGCGCAGCGTCGGCCTCCGTGTGCGAGCGGCCGCTCGTGTAGAAACGAGCCGGAACACGTGAAGTCTTCCGAGTCGCTGCGTTTTAAACTCCTCCGACTGGATCTCCCACGGGAACCAAAGCAGCAGGTCTTCTTCTCTCTCTGCCTCTGATCTGCACCGCCGCCTCCGCACGCTGTCCCATGATTCATAGCTGCTGAATAATAGATGCTCCTTTCATAGATCTCTGAAGAGCTTCATCTCTCTCTTTCTTCCTCTCTGCTCGCTGCGTGGTTTGTTTCCTCCTCAGTTTCTGCTTCTGTCTTCTTTTCCTTCGTTTTTTCTCTGCGCTTCATTCATTTTGCGGCGTCTCTTCAGGCGCTCGGTTTTGTTTTGTCTCCTTTCTCACCTTTAATGATGCCCGCCACTGATCCAGTCAGATTATTCCGCCACCACACACATTAACTGTAGTTCCAGCAGCACCCTCAGGACCAGCCTAATGTTCTCTAAGAATAGCCCAACCATGAGATGAGTCTTGTTTATGGTGGTTTAATGTTCACTGATCTCAGCACAGTAAACAGCATCTGTGCTCGGCCTCTCACTGAAAGTGTTTTAGTGCAAAGCTTCTAAAAATAGAAGCTCGATCGGGCTGAATGCTGTTCATCTAAAATAACGCACAAGTCACCTGAAAGGTCAAATAAAGAAGATTCAGAGTTTAAGTTCTCGATAACCTGCAGAGATATGAGTCGCTGATTAAAGGAGAAACATGACGTAGATTTACAGCGGACCTGTTCAGCTCGTTTCCAGCTCCCTCAGAGCAGCTTTGCATGATTCACAGTTCAGAATAACCCTTCTTTATCTGAAACCGAACCTCTGTGCAGCCCCTCAGCTCATCCTCTGCCTGAAACAGAGTAATTTAGCTCCTCCCTGTTTAAACCAGCTTTCTTCTGATTGGCTACCACGTGCAATCGGATGGTCTGAGATACAATATTAGACATTTCCACTCTCTGTGACATCATTTTACTAACTTTAATGTGAATTAAGACGATTCATTTTAAATGTTTTTGTGTTTTCAGTCCTAAAAATTTCGACATGCCCCTCATTTCATGCAGGATTGTAAACTACACTTAAAGCACTCTGCATGTTTCTGTTATAATGCCAGACTTCTATATTAAACATGTCTATTGGTTCTAATAATGAGGCAACAATATGTAAATGTAACCCTGTTAAGCCAAAGTTCAGCCTCTTTTTGCTCTGATTAAGGTTTAGAGAAGCAGATTTCTTCATCCCGTCCTTTCTGCAGACAGCACAGCTCACAAATACTTAAAACTGCCCCTCAGCAGTCGTCCAGACTTTAGCCAGTCAGAAGAAGGTTCAGGAAGGTGGGTGCCTTTAAGCAACGGGAGGAAAGTCAGCTTGTTTGACAGAAAGGCCGGGCGGCGATAAATAAGGTCATTCCTGATCTGCAAGTCATGCGGCGCTGCTCTGATGGAGTCCCAGGATAAGATAAGATACCTTTATTAGTACCACGAGTGGGAAATTTCATGTTAAGGCTGCCGACCTATTGCACACTGTGGAAAATGCATGTACCGGTAAATAATTGGAGGAACTTTTACGTTTGACGCACAGCTGAATAAAAGGAAATCAGCAGTGATGATCACATGGTTTTTAGTAAACGTGCAGAAACTCTCGTAGTCACAACAGCAGGAAGTGAAGAAACTGTCCTCCTGATGAGGAGCCTGTGAGCGTGGTTCAGCAGTTTTCTTCTCCTGCAGTATTTTAAACGTTTGTTACGGAAGTTCATGAATGGAAAAACACTCTCACCATCAGGTTTCATCTCTTTGCCAACATTTTTAGGTTTTTAGCTTCTCCCACTCTGAGGCTTTTATTTTCTCGACATCAGCACAACAAACCTCGTGTGTTGTTGTGTTTGTTCATCCAGCCACAGTTTTTTATTTGAATAACCACAAAAACGTTCAGAGGATTGTGGGAATGTTTGTAACAACAAGAAGAAAAATGACCAGTAAAACACTACTCCTGTCGTTTTGGCTGAAGCTGCTGAGCGTGTGTGTGTGTGTGTGTGTGTGTGTGTGTGTGTGTGTGTGTGTGTGTGTGTGTGTGTGTGTGTGTGAGAGAGAGGTAATGATCTTTAAACATCAAGCTGAACATTTTTCTTTCTTGTTTTTAAATTATTGATTGTACAGTTTAAGGCGATGTGTATGAAGATTTTTCACAATAAAAGTATTGAATGTTGACGTCAACCTGTCTCAGGATTTTGTTTATTTTACAGCCCAAAAGATAAACTCCTCAAAAAAACAAAAAAAATTATAAATCATTTCATGCACATAAAACATGAGCACAGTCCGTGAATCAGTGTTTTATTAGAGAAGGCTGCCATCTAGTGGATGGTTGTGTTGCTTTAGTTTGAAAAGAAGTCCAACCGGAAGTATTTAGACTGCAGTTGGAAGTGTTTTACAAGAATAAAATCATTTAGATTACATTTATCTGTATGGTAAGATTGATTGATTAAAAACAAAATTATGTTCAGAGGTGATTCAGAATTATTTCAGAATAAAGTAGATAAAACGTCTCAGTTTACTATATAAAAGTCTGTGGTCTAAAAAGCAAGTACAATCTTCCAAAATCTAGTATTTACTTTTTGGGTTAATTAAAATGTGTTTTTAGCATTAGAGCAGGGTGGGCAACTCCAGGCCTTGAGGGCCGGTGTCCTGCGGGTTTTAGATCTCACCCTGGGTCAACACACCTGAATCAAATGATTAGTTCATTACCAGGCCTCTGGAGAACTTCAAGACATGTTGAGGAGCTAATTTAGCCATTTAAATCAGCTGTGTTGGTTCAAGGACACATCTAAAACCTGCAGGGACACCGGCCCTCGAGGCCTGGAGTTGCCCCACTCCTGCATTAGAGAGAGAGAGAGCGAGCGTCCAGCGCCGATTTGATCCTATTCCAGTCCTGTGAGACTAAAAACGAATAAAGAGAAGCACGCAAATGAAAACCCCTCGAATCACCTCCTGGTAAAACACTGCCACCTGGTTTCACTTGCAGCTAAAACATGTAGAGGGTAATTACAAAAAGTACCTGTAAAGGAGAAAGATTACCTTTTAAAATAGGTTATATAACCTGATTTAAAGGGTAATCTTGGTTCCTACCTGCTGATGTTCATGTTAGGAATGCTTTGGAGTTTGTAAAGCTCTGATGTGCGTCAGAAAGAAGTGAGCTCCCTGTTCTGTCATTTTGGTGTTTATCATAAAAACAAACTTAATTTACCTGTGCAAAATCCAACTAAAACCTGCTTTTATGCAATAATCTCAACAGCTATCAACTTGAAGCTCTTATTTTGAAAAGAAGCCCAGCTAACCGAAATTCTTCCTGTCAGACGAACATAGGCGCCATCTTGACAGTAGTCCTTTAGCACATTGTGCTGCTGTTTTCTCTTCAGAAATCAGCGTCTGAAAACAGAAAGCTCTTGTTTCCACGTCTCTGGCTCTTCGGGCTCTCGGTCATGTCCAGCATCCAGCTGCTCAGAGTGCTCGTTAACGAGCGGCTGGCCGCGGCCGCCGACGACATCTTGGAGGCGGTGAAGAAGACCATCGCGGGCTATGAGGAGGAGATCCTGCTGTCCAAACGGGAGATCCGCCGCCAGCGACGGATGCTGCAGAGAGAGTCCAGATCAGAGACGTACGCCGGCAAACACTCAGGTCTGTGAGCTGCCGGCGTGTCTTCAGCCCTTCAGGTTGTCCGCTAACAGGCCCCACTGGAAACAGGCCCGTCTGGGGCAGCATGTCTGCCCAGTGGTACCCCATTCAAAAATCTGCAGATTTAACGTTTCCCATTTAAAAGCAAAGGTCCCAACCTCAATAAAAACACATTCCTTAATTTCAAAGTATGCTTTTGAATTCGGCATAAGAGTTATTGACAAAGCTGCCTCACACTCTGAGTAATAGAAACTTTAAATGACTGATTGAAAGGTGACCGTCAGGGCGCCGAACTTTTCGAAATAAATCGTTTCCGCCTCTGAATTCAAAGATGTTCACCTGACAAAGTCTGGAAGCCTATTTCTGACTAGCGTGACTTGCTTTGTTATTCAATTAACTGCTTTAAGTTTAGATTGACAAACTTTCTTTGGCCTCATTTCAACAGTTCAAAAGACAGTGTTTGCTCATTAAATTCTCTCAAACATATATATTTGTTTGTTTGTTTGTTACCCAAGCATGACATTTAAGTCTGACAAGTGATTCACCGAGCTGCTCTACAGTCTGAGAAAAATGAACTTTTACGGGCTGGTTTTCATGAAGAGACTGCTGCTGGGACACCAAACTCCACAGACACATTTAGTAAGACAATTTTATTTCTCCACATGCAAATATTACAGTGATCTGCACAAGTCTTGAGCAACGCCAATGCTCTTTGTATTGAAACATTTCCAAGCAGAGTCTGTGTAGGTTCTCAGTCAGGGAGTGAAGGTCTCACAGTGGTTTTACCTGAAACCTCTGCTAAAAATGACCCACGCTTCTGTCCACACCTTGACTCATATGATGAGGCATGTGATTAATAAAGAACACACTTAAGGGACAACTCCTACTAGGCCTTAAATACCTGGGCCTCTCCACCATTTGGTTTTAGAACTGAAGAAACTTCTTGCATGAGCGGTGAAACGTCTTCAACAAACGTAAACAAGTCCAGTCGCTTTCTATCCAAGCTCCTTAGAATGTGCAAGTGGTGTTCAGGAATAGCTCTGCAGGGTTCTTGAAGGACATTCAAAGATCTTCCTTGGATATTTCTGACTTTCGTTCTGTTTTCTGTCGGGATGATCCCATACTGTGTCAGTTGTGTTGAGGTCCGGGCTCTGGGGAGGCCGATCCGTGACTGATCATAACTGTAGAGCTTCTCGAGGCAACTGTTGTTGTGATTTGGCGCCATATAAATAAAAGTGAATTAAGCTAAACTTAAAACTACCAAGTGTAACTTAACTTTAAGTTAAGGCTTAAAAGCTGAATATTAATACAAAGAGAGGGAACTTCAACAGTCAGACAATCCCCTGTGAGGTGATCGTGGCAAGGATGGGAAGGAAGAAATCCCTTTTAACAGGAAGCGACCTCCAGCATTACCAGGATAAGGGGGGGAGACAGCATAGAGAGGTGAAACACACTCTATAAGAGAGATCTAAAACCTAAGCACTCATGTGCCCTGAGGTCTAGTGTATTATTGTGAAGTTTGAAGACGATCCATAGAAAACTGGGTAATATGAAGTTTTTACTGATTTTCACATTTGGTGCGACTTTGACCAAATATGCAGCAAAACTAAATCAGCTTGAGCCGTTATTGGTATCAACAATCACACAAAGTTAGAAAATGATATGTTGAAACTCTGGATGCTAGATTACTAAGAGACAGACAAACAGACCTGATTACAGACTCCTCCCCTCCAGGGGGCGGGGACTATGCATAACAAATATTAGGGGAAATCTCTTCATTCTTCCTGTCTGGAAGACAAAATATCAGTTGTCTGATTTTTATTTGTTTGTTTTAAATGTCAGTCTTGAAGCATTGATGAACACTTTTGTTTATCGGTCAAATTTGCAGATCAGAATAAAATGTAGCCCTCAGTCAGTTATTTGTGGTGGTATCTGGAGTATAGTTTGTATCATGGCTCTTGATGACATCACTGTGTCCTGAAAGTTTTAACTTTTTTTTTTCTCTCTCTCTGCAGACCAGCCGCAGCTCGCGCTGACTGTCTGGGACGAGGACTTCCCTGAGGATCAGCAGCAGGCAGAGGAGCAGTGTGAGCTGGAGTGGAGCCCTGGTCAAGACTTGGAGAATGAAGAATCTCTACAGACGGACAAGAACCAGGAGGAGGACGAGGAGCAGCCACAGCACCCGCTTCAGGAGCTGAGGGAGGAGGAAGAGCAGGCGCTGCAAGAGGTTGAAGGGGAGGAGGATAGCGCCTCCATTGGGTTCATCTTCAAGCATCAGCCCAGCTCTCCGAGCACTAAAGGAGGCGGTGGCGATCCTCTACCCAGCACGTCCACAGAACAGGAGCAGGCGCAGGAGGAAGTGACTGTGGAAGACAATGACGAGGCCTCCTCCAGCTCCTCGACTGTCAACAGCGATGATGAGTGGAGGGCCAGTGTGGATTCTCAGAGCGACGACAGCGACAGAAGCCACGAGTGGAAGCCGAAGAAGAAGAAGGGGCCTCGTGTACCGATGGCGCCGACACTGCACCTGGCCAAAAAACTCAAATCCAGAATCTGCTGTAAAGTGTGCGGGAAAGGCTTCCACGCCAACATCTCTTTGGTGAACCACATGGAGATTCACCCCAAGGACGTCTGTGGCGTGTGCGGGGAACGTTTCGACAGCGAGGAGAGCTTTCACAGTCACGTGAAAACTCACGTGAAAGCGGAGATCTGCAGCGTCTGCGGGAAGTGTTTCGGGACCTCGAGCAACCTGGAGACGCACATGAGGATCCACACGGGGGAGAAACCGTTCCTGTGCAGCGAGTGCGGGAAATCCTTCAACTGCCGTCACAACATGGTGCGACACATCAGGATACACACGGGGGAAAAACCGTACACCTGCACCATCTGTGGGAAATGCTTCAATGACTACTCGACTCTGAAGCGCCACCTGCTGGTTCATATCCGCAAGAAAACCCGCAATCCAGAAAACTCATCGGTTAACGATGACGGCGACAAGGGGCTCAAGACATCGCAGTCAAAAAAGTCCCGGGCTATATGCGAAGTATGCGGGAAAATGTTCCACTCGGTGGTTTCTCTGGTGAATCACGCCAAAAGTCACGCCACAGATGTCTGCGGCGTGTGCGGGATGAATTTTGATTCTGAGGAAAACTTGAAAAGTCACCTGAAGACTCACAAAAGCGGGAAGGTCTGCGAAGTGTGCGGTAAGTGTTTTGACGGGCACGGAAACCTGGAGATGCACATGAGGATTCACACCGGGGAGAAACCGTTTCTGTGCAATGAGTGCGGGAAATCCTTCAACTGCAGACACAACATGTTGCGGCACATCAGGACGCACACGGGGGAGAAACCGTTTCTGTGCAACGTCTGCGGCCGAGGCTTCAGCGACCAAACGAGCCTGAAGCAGCACAGCAGCACGCACACGGGAGTCAAACCGTACCGCTGCGAGGTCTGCGGGAAAGGCTTCCACCGAAAGACGTACGTGAGGCTGCACATGAAGAGCCACACGTCTGGGAAGTGACTGCTGTGTAAATAAAGATTTTGAAAATGAAGATGTTTTTGAATTTTATTGTGAAAAACTGACAGAATTTATATCGTCTTCATGCATCATTGGTCCTGAATATAATGTTGGAAGGAAAATATCCAAAGGTGGCTTATTGTTCCAAAAATAAGGCGGCGGTGGCTCCAAACGTTCCAGTAATATTGAGCTCGGCGTGACTCACGGTGAAGGTAAAGACTAAAGGACGACCCACATTGCACCAAAGAAAGGCAGAGAACACATTTCTGACTAGTCCGATGTTTCTAAGGGACAATTTGAATTATTAGACTTTTTTAAATCTCCAGCACAGTTTTGTTTTCTTTTTAATCACTTAAAACCCAAAATGTAAAATAATATTAAGTGCCAGAAAATTAAGAGTTTTTGAAAACGGGCAGTCTTTGAACCATTTGACAAATTTCTTTATAAAAATAATTACATTTTATGTCCATATATAACTTTTAATTTGTATCATATTTGTTACATCTGGGGGAAAAATCACACTGATGATGTAGAAGTCTCAAAAACATCAAATATAATGCACTAGGCATTGAGGGGTTAAAGCCATATTTGGTTATAGCAGCCATAATAGATTCATCAGCTTCATATTTCTATTGGCTCCACTAGAGTAGCTCCTGGAGTCTAAGAGAGAGGGGGGGGGGAATGTTTTCTGTATCTCATCCTGTGTTTGCAGCCCTTCAGTCCCCTCAGCTCCTGTCTCCTTAAGTCCCCACTTGATTCTGATTGGCCATCTTCCAGAAGCTTCCCGAGGGGCAACACTCCGTTTTTGTTCTTTGTTGGTGCGTTCTTCTTAGAAGCGTCAGATTTAATGGAAGCTTGTTTACGACACTGAAAAAACAAATTTACCACCCAAAATTCTGCATGACGCACCTGAAACTTCCCTGAAAGCTGATTTTCTTCTGGACGAAGTGTTTTCATCGTGAGAACCGAGCTCACAGCTCACTGTCAGCTGAGACTGAAGAGGTCATGTCAGGGGTTGACATTTGTTCAAACACAAATAAGAGAGAAAATGAGACACTGGCAGACCGACTCAGAGTTTAAAGGAACGTGCACACGGGTGAATGCCTCTGAGAAGACAGACACCACGAGTACAGGCTGCTTGCTTTATTTATAAGGCAAAAATGGATTACATAGTACATAGTACTTCCTCTTTCAACTGTCAGAGCAGGGGTCAGGCATTATCTCAGCTTATCTAACCTTGCACACATATTCTGAAAATAACAATGTAGGAGTATATCATGCTTATCTGACATCACATACTGAGGTGAGGAATACAAAGTATATCATGACTTGTCAAACATCTTGAACACTTAAGTAAGGAATGCATTATGTTCTCTTTAACAATAAGCTTTACCGTGTGAAAATATATGAACACACACACATACAATATAAGGCATATTTGGTTAGAATATAAGGTTCACTTGGTTAGAATATAAGGCTTACTTGATTATATTGTATTATAGAGATTTGGTTATATTGTATAATGTAGAAAAATCTCTAACAGGTCACTTGGATGAAATGCTTCTTCCCAATGCTTCTTTACCTGGATGATTTAGCGCGCATCAAAACGCGTCTCACACGTCTGAGAAAATAACTTGAAATTTTGAATTAGGTGTAAATGTCAAAGAAGTTAATGTTTTTGTTTGTTTTTCAGGGAGGAAACAAAGTTTAAAAATCAAATCCAGCTTTTTAGTTTACACACCAAAGGAGAAATTCTGGTAGTTACGTTGAACAGCCCCCATAACGTGTTTAACGCTTTGTTTCATTAAATGCTTTTCTGTCATTATTCCAACTTCACCCACATATAGGTCGAGCATCAAACACTAACATCCTGCTGTAACGCTATCGCAGAATATAACAAAAGTTAGCTCTCAGACTTTTTATCCTATTACACGGGCGGCCTCGTGGTCTAACTTTGTACTTCAAGCCCCAAACAAACGACAACAATGTAACGTTTATTGTTTAGTACACATGCAGGCGGTTACATGATGTAAATCTGTGTGCTTCACATCGTGCCTCTGACGGACTGATAATGTGCAGCAGTTTGGAGTCACGACTTCAGATATTCAGTTAATGTCGAGCTGCTAACTCGAGTTGGTCAAAGCTGTTTGCTGAGAGATGCCTTCTGTATTTTGATGGAGACTAATTTTTAGATTTTGTTGGGGGTTTTTTTTTAAATCTTTTGCTCAAATTTTCTTAATAAACTCTGAGTCAACTTTGGTTGTTTCTTTGCTTATTTCTCCACAGTGCACAGATGACCAAAGAACTACAGCGAGTTTAAGAAAATGTGATTAAAACCAGTATTTTTCTTTTTTTTTTAAATTGGGCTTTATAGAATTACGCTGGCATGTGGTTCGCACTTTTGCCTCACAGCAAGAAGACCCTGGGTGGAGCAGGAGGTGGGGTGCATCTCGACCCTGGACTGGATAAGTGGAAGAGGATGGATGGAGAATTACAGGGGTCTTCTTTATTCTGCTCAGCTTGGCTGGTTAGCTTTTAGCAGTGCTGAATAAATAACTTATAACACATACATAACATATAAATAAACATTAATACACTTAGCTAAACTCTCTTTTGTATATTTTTTTTTAAATTATTTTATTTAAACCTAATTATTCTTTATTTTTATGAACTGGTAAAGCCCCAAAAGCTTACAAACAAACAAACTCTTACTGGTAGCTTTCGTGTTCATGTTAATTGTGTAAATGCTGTGAGCTACTCACAATGTTGAGTTTCTGTTTCTCTTTATTCTTTATTATTCTAGTTTGATTTGAATTCAATTAGATTTTATATGTAATTACTTAAATGGCACATTGTAAGTGAACAAAAATAGCAATTACTGCTACTTCATTAAGCTAGCCTGATTAACCTTTAAGCAGTTAAACATGTTTGTAGGTTCTTAAGCAAACTGTGTAATATTGTGTGTTATCATAGTATTACTGCAGTTATATTTTATGCCAGTCTTTTGGAATAAAAGGAATATGTACACACCTATACAGGTATTTTGGTAAGCTTTGGGTTTTGGCATCTTGAATCTCTGAAAATGGAGCATTTGAAAAACTGCTAGAGAGAAGAGTCTAACAAACTGTTTTATTTTGATCTGGATGGACACATTTTGCAAATTAAATTTGACAAAAAAAAATCCTACGTACGTGCAGATGTAACTCTAGTGTTTTTTTAGAGAACTGCTCAGTTTTTCAGATTTCTGCCTGTTAGATGAGACGGTGATGACACAGAGTCCAAACAATGGGAACAACAATAGAAATCAAAGCAGTGAAGCAAAAGTGCACAAACTTCATCACTGATGACTCATGTGTCACATTTGACTCGTTGTTCTGGTAGATTTGAGAAGCCGAGGTTTAAAAACAAGGTTTATGTGTCATCAGTTAATTCAGCCGCTTCCTTTTTAACTTCATGCATCTTTAGTTGATTTGTCATCTCCACTTCCAATGCTCGTCTCATCAGGCTGAAACATGATTCTTTGTTTTCTACAGTCAGGACTGCAGGTCCTGTGAAGGAGGTAAAAACACAAACCTTATAAGTGCCTTTTAATCCTGCAAGAGTTCAGAGTTTGATTCAAATAAGACTGATTACAGGGAACGTGGGTCTCTTTAATCGATATCCTTGTTGTCTTGGCAGCTGTTTATTTTTTAAAAAGCATTTCAGAAATCCACGATTGAAGGTTTTCTAGTGTGTTTTATATTTTATATGATTTTACTGCAGTGCATTGGTGTCATTGTCTGAAAAATGAAGCTGTTAGCAATCAGATGCTTCCCAGATGGCACTGCATGGTTGATCAAAATGAACTTTTCTGTGTTCAGAATTCCATCAGTTTTGGAAAGATCTCCAACACCACCCACTACAATTTAGCTCTAAACCACGACAGACACTCCACTGTGTTGGATGGATGTAGACCCTCACTTATACCTCTCTCCTCCTCCGTATATACTGACAAATTGAACCAAACATTTCCCTCTTTCCCTTCCTTCATGGATCAGCTGAAGGTCCAGATGCAATTCTCATGTCGTTTGTCAGGATCTGGATTTTTTTTCCTGTTTTTTTAAGGGCATGACTTTCATATACTGTTCTTCTGTTGTAGATAGTTTGTTATAGGCCTGACACTATCTTTTTCCTTTACTTGTCTAGCTTACCCAATTTTTTTAAGAACATACTGCACACCAACTGAGATAACCCACGTTTTTGGCTCTGGGATTTACCTTTTTGAAGCAAAAATACTATTTACACCTGTAAAACTGTTATCTTTGGCATTTTTTTAAGTTCAACTAAAGAAATGGAAACAAATGGAAGTGTCCTTTTATGCTACAGTGATTTATATTATCACTATTAGTACTATTACTACTACAGTCTTGAATAGTATAATCTTGAATAACAATACTTTGCTTTTATCAGGTCAACAACGACTTGTAGCAGATTACTTTTATTCCTTTCTAGTTAAATTTTACCTCCAATACGGGTCAAGTACAGTGCGCATGTGCAGCCGGTCTCCGACAGTACCATAGCAACAGCAGTGGACATCAGACGCGAACATGGTGAGTGTTTGTGTTTTCGGTTGGTTTTGGAGCTTTTTGCCGTTTTTGAGCTGCTGTTTGAGTGATGGTACCTCTAAAAACTGACAGAAGCTCGGAGTCACCTCATGTCTGAGCGTTTTACCGGCCGGAAACACGAAGCAGCGCCACATCCGCCGGCTAACACGGGCTAACTTTAATTAGCTCCTTAGCTCGATAAGTAGCCGGAAAACAGCAGCAGAGTCCTGAAGGAGAAGCTGGATTAATCTCTGCTTCGGCTGTGTGTGAAGAGTCAGCATCGAGCCCAACAATAAAAATCTATAGTGAACTATTATTATCATTGATATTAAGATGGTTCTTATTGTTATGTTAGCCCAAACCAGAGTGTTTGTTTGTGTTATCATCACACTTTAACTCGGACATGTTTCTGATTGGTCTAAATGTTGATGTTTCCAGGCAAAAGCAATGACTGTGAAAGACGCGCTGGCCAAATGGGTGAGACACACACACACACACACACACACACACACACACAC